CAGCTTCGGTCGGGGTAGTGAGAGCAGCCTCCTCACCAGGGACAGCTCCTTTCAGACAGGACCATGGGGGCGGGTGGGCATCCCACCACTCCTGGGATTGACTGTGTAGTACAGGCCCCTCTTTTGCCCAAAGTCATACAGCTGTTCAGGGTCAGATGCAAGTTGCAAATCCAGGTCTGTTCATGCCAAAGCCACTTAAAACATCAGCCCCTTATTCTACATTGGCCTATCAAAGGTACATGTGTGAGATACAGGAGGATGGGAAGGAATACTTTGGCCAAGACTGAAATATGAACAGAATGGTGGAAATAAAGTATTATTTTTTTAGCACTTCTCTAGTAGATATATTTATAAAACTCCTATCAAGAATGGTTATCAAGTCCCTAAACAAAACCTCATGCTGCAGGACAATAGAAGAAAAAAAGCCAATGAATCATTACCCAAAGTTTAAAAAGTGGTGTGAACTGCATATTAAAAAGTGAAGGGAGTGAGGTGAGGTCATCTTAAAATGGCAGAAGGCCCCTCAGATTAGAGCCAGCTGTGCTCAGGCTCCACAGCTGGCCCCGCACACGGGCCAGGCCGCAGGAGAGACGAGTTAGGGAAGGAATAGAAACCATCCTGGGAACCCACAGGAAATGCAAGTTCCTCGCCAGGTAGGAGCTGAAGCAGGAATGAAGTGACATTAGCAGCTCTTTCAATTCTCCCTAGTTCAACACTTGGAGAAATCCTCAAGGGTTTTTTAAGCTTTCCACCTTTTGTTTTATCTTGTAAATTTAAAAACTGTCCTCTCTCAATCTTTTTCCTCCTTTGGCCTCATGGTTGCTTCCACGCCAGGCACCTGCAAAATAGTCCCAGTTTCCCCTAATTAAGACCTAGGAGTATTTGTTCTGAGTTCCTATGGTGAGCTCTGTGCTTGTGGCAACCTGGCTGAAGAAGGATTGTTCATGCACGGATTGATGATTCTATGCCAGACTATCTGGGTTCGAATCCCCATTCTAACTCTCACCAGCCTAGTGAGCTGGGGCATATGCCTTGGTTTCCTCACCTGTAAAATGGGCATAAATATAGTAATCTCCTAATAGGACTGTTGTGAGGATTATATGAGATGATATACATTAACTATTGGAGTAGTGCCTGGCATACAGTAACTGACTAATAAATATTAGCTATTTTTACAGTGAAGTAGAAGATAGGAAAGGAGTTGGATAATTTTGTTGTGTATCAAATACTAGCCATTTGGCCATTCCAGAGGAATGCACAGAAAGGGATGCTGTGGGGCTGCCTGGCCTGGGATGTGCAGACATCCCTACTGGCAGCTCTGTGGGTCTTAGTTACCTCTGAACGCTATGGCTCAGACTGTTATCTCCCACCATTGCAACTGCATATTTCTGTGATCTTCCACCCATTTGTTATGGCATTTGTTTTATGGCTATCAGCCATCCATTCCCCTTTTTTAACAGCCTCGATCTCTTTGTGTGTGGAGGGAGTGCCCCTATCCCATTTGTTACAGTCTTTGGGAAGCAGTAGACCAAGAAGTTCCTACCCTCATTGCTGAAGAAACCAAAGGTGTCTTCAGAGCCCATCACAGAACTCACACTGGCCACGAGTCTTTGGGGCACAGGACCTATGCTGTGTCCATCACTCTCCTGGGACTCTGGGATGCAAGGACAAGTAGAGGACACAGGACAGAAAAGAGAAGGGTCTAATGTGGGCTCATTGCAGGTTCAGTCCTGTCCCCACTCTGCTTTTGAGCTTGTTTCTTCTGCTTCAGCTGACCAGTCACAGACTCTCCCTTACTTACAACCCAGGACCTGTAACTGACACTCATTTGTTGAATTCTGTGGAGGGCCATTCATTATCACAGCGCTGACAGATTCAAGAGTGTGAAGACCACAACTGGTTTCAAAATAGCTCCTGACCATGAACTGGAACCCATTTGGAAGGTTGTGGAATAATGAAAAGGTCACAGAACTTATGTGTGTATTCTGATTCTCATTCATCTGCTTAAAATGCTTAGAAAATGATCACTCAGGCCTGCTCTCCCTCTAAAAACCTTGCACATATCGCATAATCCCAGCTAGGAATCACTGGACCTGTCACCTGGAATGTGGAGCAGGAATCAAGCATGTAACATTTGCTTACCAGAACCAGAATCTCCTTATTCTCTTCCCTGACGCTTTGCAAACTCACGCCCCTCTTTCCATTCTGTGCCTGCACTCCTGACGCTCATCACAGATCGCCTGCCTCTGGGCTCTGTCCCTTCCAAAGCCATCCTGCTTGTGGCAAATGGGGCCATTTGAGCACTGAAGACTTAAGGCTGGATCTGAGGAGACCTTGAGAGCCATCCCAAATGATCATCTTTGTGGAGAAGAGAAATTGAAGGTGTAAGAGACAAAATGACTCGCAGCGTTGAAGTTGGGATTCCAGACCCTAGTATTCCTTCTGTTACACCACCTGGCCACTGGCGAACCAAGGAGCTAAAGTTGTCGAAGAAATTAATTGGTGTTAGTGGTAATCAAACCATTGTTTCCAATCTTATATCCATGCCCTTGGCTGTGAGATGCTGAGTTGCCTCCCACTAGAGTAGGCAGGGTATATTTCTCTTCTCCGTGAACGTTGGGCTTGGCAATGTGACTTGCTCTGACCATTGGCATCTGAGCAGAAGTGGCAAATACACCAGTTCCAAAGCATCTGAGTTTCCCCCCACCTTCTTGCACTTCCTGCTCTTTACTATGGGAAGAACGTGCTCCAGGTGGCCACTGGGCCCAGAATGAGACACAGAGGAGAGCTAAATGCAGCCTAGAGCCTGCAGGAGAGCTACTCCAGACAACCTACAGAGCCATGAGTGTGAAATAGATGATAGCTGCTCTAAGCCACTGAGATTCCTGAGTTTGTTTGTTATCCAGCATAACTCAGCCAGATCCTGCCTAATACAATGTTCTCAAGATCGAAGGATGAGAACAGTGTGGATAGCAGACATCTCGCAAACTGCTGCCCGAATAGACTTCTTAAATCACCCCCGTCCCCAGGACCTGTTTGATGAAGTCCGTTCTCCTTGGCGCCGCAGTGAGGGCTCTTCTCACCTGAACTGCAACCAGGACTTCAACTTCATCTCCCTCTTCTTCCCTTTACTAACCTCCATTCCAGGCACACTGAAGTCACGTGTACATTCCTACCCCCTAACCACTTTCCTCCACCTGATTAAGTCCCCAGCTTCACAAAGACAACCAACATAGTGCCCCTCCCCCCTCCTCTTTCTGAACACGTGCTGTCAGAACAGCAAACTCCGTGATGCTCCTTCTCCCACACCCTCCCCGTCACCCTGGTCCCTCCCTGCCCCTCTGTCCCTCTGTTAGCAGTGGTGTCTGGTGAAGCCCTTCCTGCTCCTGACCCAGATCCCTCTGACATCCAGTCCTGCCTGCCCCGTGTCACCCCCATGCCACCCCTGAGCACCCTCCATGGCCCATCCCCATGTTATCAGGACCCAGGTGACTCCTGGTACAGAGGAGAGGATGTTGGAAGCCGGGGGGGAAAAAGCCCCCTTTGAGGAGACAATGGAGACAAAGGGAAGAGGCCAGGCAGCCTAGAGGCCCTGAGGAGACCCACCTGGACACCAGGTATGTTTTAAGTGAATCTGAGAGCCTGCTAAACAAGGCCTGGTAAAACCAGGACTTGACATCTGGTGGCAGCTTAGAGCTCTCGAAGGCCCTTCTCTCCTTGGCAGGTGGACATCAAGAAGTCAGTACATTCAAAGGAGAAGGGGATCACGGAGCTGTCTGGTCCTGGCAAGGGAACGTGGTCGCCTGTTTTTTTTGCGACTGAAACTTTTCCTAACTGGCAAGAATGGTTTAGCAAGGGATTGCTCGCATCATGGAGGAAGTCCTCTTGAGGCCAGTGTGGTCTCTGGTGTCCTGACTAAGGACATTAAAACCATCACTGGGAAACCTGAACATGCAAGACCACAGCCTCCCGTTCAGTGGCGAGAACCTGCAGCCCTCTGGGGCCCCAAGCCAGAGAATGTGCCAGAGGACAGTTTTATGGCAGGAAGCTACATTTAACCAGCTGGAACTCTTTTTAAACAATCATCCTATTCATATATTTAAAAATAAATTGTGCATCTTTTAGCAGACAGGCGGTCAGCATCTCATTATTAAGATGGAAGATGGAACACAGTGTTCTTGGCCAGACTGGTCCCTGAATCTCAGGCTCCTTTACAGGATTTTTCTACATGTGGCAAAGATATTATTTAAGATAAATGTGTTTCAGGCCTGACAGATTGGAGGCGCAGCTGCCAGCCAACAACTGAGTGGCACTTAGTGAGAACTTCCCGAAGTGAGGTCATTATCTCCTAACATATTCCCAGATGACTGGGGTCAGTGAGGGAGTTAGAAAAGAATGGGAAGTTTTAGAATGCTCAGTGCATTTACCATCATCTCTTCGTAAGGGATACTAAAGTGCTTCACAGAGCTACAATCATTAAAATGGAGTGAAAGAACTATCAAAAAGTGATAGTTTCAATACAGTAGTGTTTTTTAGAAGTAGATCTTAGGACACATAGGACATCAACATATAATAAAGAGGTAAAAAGGGGTTAATTTTTTTCATCCCTGGCAAAGATCAAGAAACAATGAAATCTTCTGGCAAGTTTTAAGAAAAAGTACACATACTTAGGCATGAAAATGGAGAAATAACCCCGAGGCAGCCCCTGATACCCAAACCTGACAAATCAGCACAAAAGAGATAATATGGATCGATTTTTCTGAGTATTGATATAAAAATCATAAATAAAATTTTAGCAAATCTGATTCATCAGTGTATTAAGCCGCAGTTTTATTACGAGAGTGCAAGAGTAGTTAAATATTTGGGAAATTTGGTCCTGTGATTTCTCACATTAATAGGATAAAAGTAAAAAAACCTCACATGTATTCAATGCTTCTCAAACTTTAATGCATCTAAGAGTCACCCTGTAAAACTGCAGATTGTAATTCAGAATGTCTGGGATGGGGCCACGTGTGTGCATGTCTAGCAAGTTCTTGGATGATGCCAGCGCTGCCGACTTACAGACTCCGCCTACAACGACAGGAAACGCCGAATCTCAAGCCCCAGACGTCCTGACTCGTGTGCTTCAGGTCAGCAAGGTCTTCAGGTGATTCCTATGCACAATAAAGTCTGGGAGGCTCTAGAGAAAACGGAGTTTCCATGGCCAGGATTCTCACCTGACCCTGGTCTGCTTGCCCACGGTGCACGTGCAATGCTCGCAGGCGCAGGCTTACCCATGTGTTGGCGATGGGCTATTACTGACTCCATATAAAGAGTTCTGTGGAGGGCGCTAGGGCTGCGAGGCGGCGGGGAGGCTTAGAAGCCAAGACGGGCTCACTGCATGCAGACTTGTCCTGTGGCCATTGGAATTTGACCTGCCACCACGAGAATGATGCCAGGTAAAGTCCTTTAACTCCCATGACGTTCGGTTTTCATTTTTCAGTCTCCAGAGTGAACTTGCCGGAACTGAAACCCTCAGGCGAGACGGACGCAAAGTTCTAACTCAGTAATTCTCACCCCTGGGTGGATGTTATAATTACCAGGAAAACTTTAAAAATGCTGGTGCCTAGACTCCACTGGGGCCCAATTAAATCAGGATGTGGATGAGAAGGCACACAGGCAACAGTATTTTTTTAAGATTCCAGGGATTCTGTTGTGAAGCCAGTACTGGGAGACACTGACCTAGGTAAATGCTGAAAAGATACCATGTATAATTAAACATCCGTTTCTGACAAAAATGCTCAGAACCCTAAAAACAAGACGGTGATTCCTTAGCATAGTTAAAAGTATTTCTCAGAAACCAGCAGCAAACACTGCTTCATCAAGGGAAAACAGGCAACTCATTAAATCAAGAACAAAACAGAAATGCCCACTCATTGCAATTATACAAAAGCCCTAGATGTTTCAGGTGATGAAATTAAGAAAAGGAAGTTGAAGTATAAATTGGAAAATAGAAGACAAAGCACGATGATGTCCAGATAATGATTAACCACCTGAAAAATAAAATCAGCTTAATAGAGTATTAAAACAATTAGAAATTTATATAATGTGACCAAATACAAGATAGGTAAACAAAAACCAAGAGCCTTTTAATATATCAAATAGGAAATATTTTTAAATAATCCTTTAACACTAACAACCATGTATGAAATATATCCTAAAATAACTTCATAAGAAATGTTTTTGGCGCACATATGCCATACATAATGAACTTTTCCCCAAATGACAAATTTACCAAAGAAGACTTGAATAAATGAAGAGATACATCCTCTTTGTGTTTGAAAAGTCTTAATATGAAAATGCCAGTTCTACCCCAAATTAATAAGTAAATTTAACCCAAGTCCTATCAAGAGCCTGATGAAATTTTTAAAAAATTTTATAAAGGTATTCTCAAACTCATCCAGAAGAGTAATTATGTAAGCACAGAAAAGCAATATTTGTAAACAGCAATGAAATATGGAGCAGACTTGCCTTATCAGATATTTTAAATTGAGGTACAATTTACATATGATACAATTATTGAGTTTTAGGTATGATTACATGAGTTTTGACATGTAAATGTATACATTGTTAAAACTACCACCTTAATCAAAATATAGAACATTTCCATCTCCCCAGAAGGTTCCCTTATGCCCCTTCACAATTCGCCTGCCCCCAAATCCCGGCTCCCCATGCTGGGCCTGACCCTGGCCGCCACTGATCTGTTTTCAGTGACTATGGTTTCACCTGTTCTGGGATTTCATCTAAGTGGAATCTAACAAAAATGTTCTAAGTCCAGCTTCTTTCAGTTAGAATAATTATCTGAGATTTATAGGTATTGGATATTAATGATCTATTGAGCCTATAGATATTAGATGTGATATCTATATATAACAGATATCTAACACCTGTGAGATATTAAAATATTAAGCCTATAAAAATTAAGAGTGTCAGGCTGGCAAATAGACTGATCAGTAGAACAGAACAGAGTTCAGATCCGACTCCAAGTTCAAGTGGGAATTTAGAATGAAAAAGGTGTCAAGATCATTCTGGAAAGTACAGATCAGCTAATAAATGGCATTGGGACGACTGGCTCATCATTGGAGGACAATGAGGTTAGATTCCCTACTGTTTATCTTTTGCTGAAATAAATGACAGCTAGATTAAATATTTAAATATCAAAAGAAATCTGTCAGAGGAAATAGATAACAATTTTTATAATGTTGAAGTTGGAGAGCTCTCTTCAAGCAGTGATCAAAAAAAGCCAATGTAATAAAAGGTTGATAAACTGTACTGACAGAATCTAAAATGTCCATCTGGCAAATAAAATCATCTAGGGAAAATAATTGTAACATACATGACAGAGAAAGAGTAAATAGGCTAAATAGAGAAAAAGCTACCAATATCAATTAATAGGCAGATATCCAAAAAGAAAATGGGCAAAGAATAACAGGCCATTCATTGAGGCCATTTTAATCAATGGCCAATAAAAACAGTGGGGTTCAAAGAAATACAAATGATTTAACCATCTGATTAAGTACTGTTGAGCTATCTGACTGACTTAAAAATCTATCCATATGTGGAATCAGACACTCATTCTTTAAGATTGCTTAGTTTTGAGTGGTGTTTTACAAAATGTGTAACAATTCCGTAAAGTAGGAAGGCAAGGTGTTATATTGATTTTATATACAAAAAGTCCTAGGTTCAGGATACCTTCCTGATGTCACAGAGATAGTGGTGCAATCAGGGGTTAACTTGCCGTCTTCTGAATGCTTATTACGTAACACTTTCATAGAGCCAACATGGTTAGCATTTTCTCCAATGAATTCCTATTAGTTTGCAAATGTCAGAATTATTAATGCTTATGTATTATGCTCTCATTTCAGGGAAGATAAATTGAATGCAGAGGACTCTCCAATCTTGTCTTAATCAAACATTAAAACCATGTAAGGTAAGACATAATTGATAGATTAAATATCTTAAAAACGAATGTGAAAACGACTGCATTATATTACTTCTTTAGCAAGGAAACAGTTATAGTACCAAAGATATTTGAATGTATTTTTTAAATGTGTGAAATTGTTTAATTGGTAACTCCATTCCTTCAGCAAATATGTCCTGAGTACCTACTGTGTGACAGGCATTTTTCTTGAATCTGGGGACGCAGGGATGAACACAGCAGGCCAAAGTTACTGCCTGCCTGGAGCGGAGATTCTGGATTTATGTATGTATTTATTTTTATTAAGGTATCACTGATATACACTCTTATGAAGGTTTCACAAGAAAAACAATGTGGTTATTACATTCACCCTTATTATCGAGCCCCCCCACCCAACACACCATTGCAGTCACTGTCCATCAGTGTAGTAAGATGCCACAGAGTCCCTGTTTGTCTTCTCTGAGCTACACTGTCTTCCCCATGACCGCACACACACCATGTGCACCAATCATGACACCCCACAATTCCCTTCTCCCTCCCTCCCCTCCCACTCTCCCCCACCCCTCCCCTTTGGTAACCGCTAGTCCCTTCTTGGAGTCTGTGAGTCTGCTGCTATTTTGTTCCTTCAGTTTTGCTTCATTGTTATACTCCACAAATGAGGGAAATCATTTGGTATTTGTCTTTGCCTGACTTATTTCACTGAGCATAATACCCTCTGGCTCCATCCATGTTGGTGCAAATGGTAGGATTTGTTTCTTATGGATGAATAGTATTCCAATATATATATGTACCACATCTTCTTTATCCATTCATCTACTGATGGTCACTTAGGTTGTTTCCGTTTCTTGGCTATTGTAAATAGTGCTGCGACAAACATAGGGGTGTATATGTCCCTTTGAATCTGAGAAGTTGTTTTCTTTGGGTAAATTCCTAGGAGTACAGTTCCTGGGTCAAATGGTATTTCTATTTTCAGTTTTCTGAGGAACCTCCATATTGCTTTCCACAATGATTGAGCTAGTTTACGTCCCCCAGCAATGTAGGAGGGTTCCCCTTTCTCTGCATCCTCGCCAGCATTTGTTGTTCCTAGTGTTTTCTATGTTGGCCATCCTTACTGGTGTGAGGTGATATCTCATTGTGGTTTTAATTTGCATTTCCCTGATGATTAGTGATGTGGAGCATCTTTTCATGTGCCTGTTGGCCATCTGAATTTCTTCTTTGGAGAAGTGTCTTTCATATCTTCCCATTTTTTTAATCAGGTTATTTGCTTTATGGGTGTTGAAGTGCATGAGTTCTTTATATTAACCCCTTGTCAGATATGTCATTTACAAATACATTCTCCCATACTGTATGTAGGATGCTTTTTTGTTCTGCTGATGGTGTCCTTTGCTGACAGAAGCTTTTTAGCATGATGTAGTCCCATTTGTTCATTTTTGCTTTTGTTTCCCTTGCCTGAGGAGATGCGTTTAGGAAAAAGTTGCTCATGTTTATATTCAAGATACTTTTGCCTATGTTTTCTTCTAAGAATTTTATGGTCTCATGACTTGCATTCAGGTCTTTGATCCATTTTGAGTTTACTTTTGTGTGTGGGGTTAGACAGTCACCCAGTTTCACTCTTGCATGTAGCTGTCCTGTTTTGCCAACACCAGTTGTTGAAGAGGCTGTCATTTCCCCATATTTTTGACATATGATAAAATAATGCTTGGTTTAGTTTAAGTATAAAATATATGACTGTGCTGCTAATGCTTTAAAGTAATCCAAATAGTATAAAAGCAGATAATAAACACACGTTGTGGTTTAAAGTACACAAAATGTTCACTATCTTTGCCTGAAAATTAAACTTAGAATTATAGGAATGTCAGGGTGCTCTTTTAGAGGCTAAGTTTATATTTTGTCCCTCTTCTTCTTGAGAATGTCAGACAACTTTCTTGGATTCATGGAGCACAGCCCCACCTGTGCCCCTTGACTGAGTTTGTATCGGGGCAAGGGCAGGACAAGAGGGCCCCGATCCTGGAGGAGGGACTGTGACCACGGCAAAGGGCAGTAACAGGCGCTCTTGTTTCAAAAGTTTAAAGGAGAGAAATCTGACCAACCCTTTAGAGAATCCCTGAGAGAAACAGGGGGCTTTAGTTGTAGAGCTTCTGGAAAATTGGCCTTAGAAGAGCTAGAATCCCAGGTCACTGCTGAGTGAT